ATTCCCGCTGATTTTTCGGTCGATTTCCTATAAAGTGGAAATTAATTCAAGATTACAGTGTATGCCCTTGAAACTTGAGTTTATCTGTACAAAATAAACTTGTTTAGCACAAACACAGTCGCGGTTAAGAACCAAGCCATCTTTTGACAAGTTTTTGTCAATCTAAAACTTGAGCAAAATTTTTTTCTTTTTTCACTCGGTTGGATAAAGCTCATCGAGTTACATAAGAAGACATTAATTTGAAAACTTTTTTAAGTGTTTTCGATTTCAAATTTCGGGGTGGAAGGGTTCTTAAAATAAAGAACCAAGTTCCTAAACGGAATTTTCGGTATTTTTCGAATATCTCGAAAAGTAGAAAATGTTTTTTGAAAAAACGTTTAGTAACTGAGATACGGTTTGAAGTATTTGTGGTAAAAACCTCAGCTGAATCGAACCATTTTTTCGAGGTGTCGTAATGTGGCTGGATTGAAAGGATCACTGGAAAAACCAGAGCGGTAAATAGGAAGTCAACTTTGAGGGGGAGGGTGTACATCCTTCCCCTCAGTTTACGGCCCTGGGAAAAACACATGTTGAGAAAAATGCAAAACAATGTTAAGATACAGGTTTTTCCTTGAAGATGTATATTATAGCTGTCTATTTAGTGTACCTGTAGATTATCAGTCATTTTCTATCCAATCAACATGTGCAGGAGTATGTGCTGCATACGCTCAGCCATATTGCGGCATATGCAAAGGTATGCAGCGGCTACTTTACTTTGAAAAAGTAAAAATTATCTCATGCAGTGAGGGTTCTTTTACTCTTCCTTCAATTTACTGCAGTTGAAAAGAGTATCGACGCCATTTATGTGCACAAAAAGAAATATAGGATAAGCTATGAGCATGAGTAGAGGATGCTACCTCATACGCAGAACTAATTTTGTAATAATATTATTATGTAAAAGAGAAAAAGAAGTTGGTCAGCGTAGCGACTGTCGAAGCTAAAATGTGTAATTCCTCTGCAAATGTTAACAAGGTTATAATCGGAATTAGGCGACAACCTTGTCATTTCCCAAGCGTCAAAAACAAATCTAGTATCGCCCAATTTATCTAGATTACTAGATTTTTACTCGATTGCAACTATTTTGTAACGACAGGGAAAATCTAGTAATAGGCGATCGCTAGATTTCTCCTGGTTGCAACTATTAATCTATTGCCTGATAATCGATGGATTTAACTATTGCTAGTTACACATATAGACGCATCTAGTTAAAAGTCCCTTTTCCAACTAGTAATGACAACCAGTCGCGTACCGCCCGATTACAGACAAAATGTATCTAGATTTTTCCCCTAGATGATTTTTGCTTGGTTTGTAATAAATCAAAAGTTAATTATCAAAACAAGAACGAAAAAAGATTTGTGCCCATTAAAAAAGAGATTTACCTTCAAAATTTACTGTTAATGCAGCAGTCCACTAAATTTTATCAGATAAATATCTTATTCTCAGAAAAAACGATCAAAATCAACATAATATTCACCTTTTAATACCGCGTTTTTCACCCTTTTTTTTAAGACATCCACACGACCGGTATATAACTGTATTTCATGACCCTTCGAATCAGTTAGAGGAGTTGCACAAAAGCATCGAAACTTGTTCGCGTATGCTACTATACACTACTGCATATGAGGCACATGTCTCTATACATGCTCAACAGATAAAGCATAGTCGATAACCTAAAGAGAATGTAACTTTTAAAGGTACTTAATATATATTTCATCCACAAAAAGAAAAAACTCAAACTAATCTCAAACACAATTTCTATAGACTCCTCCATAGACATACATTTTTGGCTGTTTTAGGCTCTTGTATCACTATGACTTGATAGAAAACACTTAACAAAGTATGAGAGAGCTAATTAACGGACGTATCTCTGACTGCTAATAACCGTTGCATAGCGAATTGTGAAATATATACTTTTAACGCATAAAATCTTGTCAAATTTTCTATCAAATACTATCTAACACTAAACAAGTTACTGGTTATGGTTACCACAAAAATATGGAGACGGATGTCCACACAGGCTGGCAAATACCATAAATAGACATCGCAGAGTATCAAGACGAATACAACACAAAAGCGCGGCAACGTAAAACCAAACATCAACATTTCAAACGAAGAAGCACTTCACTATTGCACCGTTGCTATTAAATGGAACAAGTATAACTGGTCAACTGCAACTGAAAAATTTTTGATGAGCAATATGTCTGAAGTAAAGTTAAATAACATTCAAGCTAGCAAAAACGGATCCTTTACTCGTTATCAACTTGACGCTGATAGCTTTGATAAATTGCTAATAAAATTCCCGAAAGATCAATGTGCAAATCCGCAGAACGTAAAAATATCCATCCCTGAATCAATTGAAAAAATTCAGCAGATCGATAAAGAAGCTATAATGAAGCACGTTGATATTGAAATCACTGATGCAGACATAAGGGATTCATTAAAAAATGTAGGATTCTCAGTGTCATCATTTTTCGGTTTCAAATTTTTAAAAAAACTAGTCCTGGCACTATGGTGAAAGTCGCTTTCTCTGACGTTGAAAACAGAAACACATTTGTGAAAGTAGAAATACATATGGGCAACCTGCATTATTTAACGGAATATTGTGAACATAAAATAAAACCTTTACCTGATTCAGAAGAATTTGCATACCATGGAAATTCTTTCGTTATGCATTCACAAGATGAAACACGAAGTAGAACAATAGAGACTCAGTCAACCGATAAACAAAAGTAAACTACATTGTAAAAAAGAAAGCACTCTCTGGTGGTGCTAATCCTATTTGTAACGGTCTTGTTCTGCCGTGCTTCTGAAGTGTTTAACTAGAGAACACTTTGAAACATGCTTTAAAGGAACCCACTTGTAAAGGGTTTACTTGAAAAGTAAACCAAATGAAGACCGCTACAAATAGGATCAGCGCCACAAGAGATAGCTTTTGAAAGTGCTCTTCTCTAGGCCACTTTTTCGAACGACATTTGTTGAATTTCATTATATTTCATATTGAACTTATAAATATGATTTTCTAATTTTGTTAATTTTTGAGTCCTTTGAACCATGGAACTATTCTTAGTAGCAGTCTCAAAAGCCTGATACTATCACTAATACTAATCCATAGGTTAAGGCTACTTCTTCTAGACAAGCTTCGATGACTTGTATAGTCGTTCAAGAGAAAAATTTCTAAGTTATTCGAAGAAAATCAGCGTTACATATGTACTAGTAGTAATAGCAAAATAAAAGAGGTGAATGACTTGTCAACATGACTTTAAAACGTGTCTTCAAAAAAATGCTTCATGTCACATTTGTCTGTCACAGTGTTTTTCTTGGGTCACTTCAAAAGTAGCTTTCTACTACACATTTTTAAAAATGCCCTCTTTGCAATCACTTTGAAAGCGTGTTTTTTCACGAAGTGCTCTAGTTTACAGCAGATCAAAAGTGATTTATTTTCTCTATACCTGAAAGGGCTATGTTTAGCCATGCGATTTATAGCAAAACAACTTTCATAAAAAACACTTTTTGTAGCACTTTATTTTTTCCTTATAAGGAAACGTACATCGAAAATCTTTCTTTACCAAACCAAGATACATCTAGAAATATACAAGAACTAATAATAAAATAGCAATATAAAGCAAGAGAAGGTCAAAACTGGTCAAAGAGGCTGTAAGTAGTTTAAAAATGATCATCAAACTACTAGGTGAAAAATGGAGAACATTTACTAATTGCTTCTTTATATGTATCACCAAAAGCTAAACGCAGTTTCGAATTTACTTGAAGAACTCATGAGTATAAATCAAGATTGTTTAGTAGTTGGAGATTTTAAATGCGGCTTTGATCTCAATCGGTTCGAGAAAAACTAACTCTAAAGGTAGAAACCTTCAAGATCTCTTAGGCAAGGGAGTTTTTCTCTGCATTGATGATCCAATAACCACCTACGAAAGAAATATATACGAAGAAAAATTGGACTGGATTATAGCAAGTTAGCCTACAATTTACTTCTAAAGGTCGTTGTATCCTTACTTCATAGTATATAAATCAGTCAAAAAGCAAAAAGCAAGTTTTTGACTAAAAAGGAGAGGGGACCCAACCGCTTTTCCGACTCGAAAATATGCTTTCGATGGGTCCTCTCCCAGAGCTCGACCCCTCGAAAAATGAGACTTCGGACCCTCAATATAAGCGTTCGACGGGTTATTGATTTCGAAGTCTCTGGTTTCAGATAGGTAGCGAGCCCTCGAGAAAAATTCCGAGCCATCGAACAGAGGTGTTCGAGCCCTCGCCGCACCCCGAGGACTCGGCTTTTTCGTCTGCTGGAGTCCCAAACATCTCGATAACTCAGATTTTTTCTCGAAGACTCGTTACCTATTTGAAACCCGAGACCTCAAAACCGATAACCCTTGAACGCTTATATCGAGGGATCGAGCCTCACCGCACCCATCGAACGACTTTTCCTGTCTGCATGCGGTGTAGCCTTCGATATTGCTTAATAAAATAATGTTTTTTTTGTTTAGAGCAAAAGAGAAATACAGCCTAGATGAACATTATTCAGTTGAGACCGATCCGAGTGAAATCAAAGTATTCTAATGAATCTTACTTCTTTGATTTACTCGAGATGATCAAAAAACTAAGGCAAAGGTATGTTTTTCTAGCAAACTTCTCTACAATTTGCAAAGATGTTCATCATTCAAACATGCTTGAATGTTTTTTCAAATTACAGGAACTGTTTTAAATCTTGATACTTACGACAGCGGTTGAATTAAAAAATAGCAAATATTTAGATACTACAAAACAGAAATGAGAGATGACCTATTTAAATTATAAATGTCTGAAATACTCAAAAAAATATTTTTCAAACGTATTTCTCCACTTTTTATTCTTTGTTTTAAGCCTCATATGGCACTTTTCATTTGACAGCATAACTCGTGAATGATTATATAGTTTCTTTGATAGTGAAAAAAAAGAAGATATCTAGTCTACAAAACATAACTGGCTTTAGTTGATAAATACTGTTCGGCATAAGGTATAATTTGATGATAGACGTTTACTTGATCTGATGGAGTTATTGATCGAAAGTGATCTGTGCTATTTTCTAAATTATTTGATACGCGTTCTTCAAACGACGGTCGATATATCGAATAATCAGCAACACCGACCGCTTTTTTAAATGAATCTGTCCGATAGGATGACTTTTGTTTTTTGGTTCTTTCCATTTTTGCTGATGATTTGTTGTTCATTTCGGATGAAGTATCCGAAATACGTTCAAATAGTTTACGAGGAATTGTTTGCTCATCAGGTACATTAGGTAGACTATAAATAACTTCATCAACTTTTGGACTATTCTGTTTATGAATATTAAAACGATTAAATGAAGTTTGACCCGACGTCGGTGATATATACAATGAGGATAATGCAGACGAGGAAGCAGTTGAAGAAAACGATGATTTTGGATCCATTTTTATTAAATGTTTTTGTCGATATTTTAACCAACAAAAAGCGATCGTTAAAATAATCACTGTTGTACCGAGAACACCAGCTATGATACCCAAGGCAATTTTTAAACGATCATCTGAAGATCTAGTATTTGAAGATGAAATCATTGTCGTCGTAGTTAAAATAGTTGTTGTTAAAGAGCAATCAATACATTGTGTTGAAATACAACATTGTGTCGGTGAACAACGACGTATATCTGACAGTGAACAATTACTGTTTAACGGTAATTCGCAAACATATGAATTTGATCTCACTACTTTAACAGTATCACTTGGACATATACAAAAATCATTCTGAGTTGAATTACACCAGTTCATACATCTTGTGGGAAATATAGTGCAATTACTAGCATTGATCGTATCGGCACACACTGGACCAATAGATGTTGATATTTGAATTGATGATTGAGTGTTACATGTGCATGTTTTTGAAAGTTCTGAGCAAGATGTCAGATAGGAGCTACCACATGTATCAGTTAGTGGATTACAAAAATTACCAACGAATTGTTCATATTTAATTTCAATATCTAATAGAAATGTTTCATCAGTGGATAAATTTTGTCCTAGAGAACAATTTGTTAATTGAAAACGTCCTTGTGGTAGATACAACGAGTAGACACTACCAATATTCGCATAATTTAGACGTGTTAATGATACACTGATTGGTTCTGAACGTGTGGTTATATGTCGACTATTTACATAAACTGTGTTATATTGACAATATTGAGCTTGTTTTGTATCAGAACATGTTAACATGATGGGAAATGGCACAAAATAGTTTTTGTTAAATGAATAAATAAGTCCTAGTTGTTTTACATCTTGCGTAGAAGAAAATGATGATCCCGTATAATAACTGGCTACTAGTAGCGCCGTTGTATTTGTCATATTAAATTGTATTTGATTATAAACGGCTTGATTTAAGAGATAATTATTAACAGAAAATGTACAATTAGAAAGTTTCTGACAATATGTTAATGATATTGTTAGCAAAACGAAATATGCATCAATAAACGCATAAAACATTCTTCAATATCATACATCGTGCAATTGTTGACCATATTCATAAAACATGACAATAATCTAGAAAACAAAACTATTGTGATAGTCTTATTAAATTAATTACAAAAAGCTTAGATTGCTTACTCATGAATTTTTGTACTCTCGTTGTAATAAAAGTCTTTTAACCGTTTCAGATTCAATAAAACAAATGTCTTTCTTACTCAAATTCATCACTTCTATTTTCATATAATCAATGCACTCAATTTGTTATTGAGTAAAATTTTACTTGCCATTACTTTTGTCTCTAAAAGTGTTGAAACCAATTTTATTATTTTAATCTAAAAAGTAATGTGAACATAAACGAATTAGAAATAAGTTTTTTTTTTTCTTTTCTCACTCTATCAACTTTTTGAAGGAAAATATAAAAGAAGAAAATCTTACTGTGCACATGATTACTTCAAATTTAATATGTAAATATTTGGTTTCATTAATTGTTGCTGCTAATTAGAGCGAAAAATTCGTTTATAATATGTTGTTGATATCAACAATCTTTACTCATGTTCTGTCTCGTATTGATCACACACTATATTTGAATTATTTATTTCCGCTATAGATGAAGGAAATTATTTCATGTTATTCCATCAACTGGAATATATATTTTAATTCAGAGAATAAAAAAGAAATAATATTATGATAAAAAAAAAAAATTTCAATTTTATCTATCTTTATAGCTAGTAGAAGGGAGAAAGAGAGAGCGAGAGAGAAAGACAAGAAAAACCGCAGAAATAAACTTTTCTTGATAGTAAAATTATGTATTGTGCAATAACATAGGATGAATGTGTCATCTCGCGCAACAAAATTCAAACTATGGGAAAAGTGAAATTTTAATCTCATTTTTTTTTAAATTCTGTATCAAATAATATCTCATCTCTAATTATCATCTGTTACACTCTTTCTTTTTCTTTGTCTGTTGTCTCTATCAGCGTAGCGGTAATAGTTATAAATCTTAAGTATAATTCTTCTATTTTGCCTTTTGACTATTATACAGACGTACTTGTTATAATAAAATATTTATTATTTTTCTCTGTTTTATGTGTGTATAAACATATACTTGTAAAATACAAAAGCGATTATTTCAACAGAGACGAGAAAGCAATGTATCACGATATATAATTGATAAAGAAAAGAAATATGTATGTGTAAAATCAAACACTTGGCTAAATGAAGGACATTGCTAACATTGATGTTCTTGAAAATGTTTTGATAATGATGGTCTGACACTGTTAGAATATAATCAACTGTAAAAATAGTTCGTTCTAGTGAAAAGTAGTAGTTCCATGTGATGGTTAATATTTCAAATGCTAATAAATCGACAATAATTCAGCAAAGAGTTTAATTAATAAAAAATATAAAATATAAATTTATCGTAGATTTTCAATACGAAGAACGTTTTCTTATGCTATACAAATCAATTATAGATTACACTTTGTCAGTTGTTTTTAGAGCTCCTCAACTCTTTAACTATTCTGAAAAACTTTCATTGGTCCGTTTTGTTTACAGACATGTTCATTCATGTTTCTAAACATGAAAGAAAGAAATCGATAACAATGTTCAATCCATTTTCACTGCTTAACAGAAAAGCGTTTTTAACGTCTAATTTTTTTTCTTTCATTGATTGTAAAAGAGAAAGAGACAACTTTTTTTATGTTGTTCACAAAATAACTGAGACATTCTTAGACATACACATACTTGTTCAACACATTATAACATGTTGCTTCAGGGTAAAAACAAAAACAACAAGCAACACATAGGCATCACCACTTGAACTACTGATAGTGTGTGCTATAAATATATAGCAGCTATATCTTTCTTATCTTAAACGTTGACATTTCAAGGTAATTTCCATAAGAAAAAAACTAAATTTTTTTTTAAGTTTTTTTATATTTAAAAAAAAACAATCATCAAAAAGAACTTAAAATTCATTAATCATACTCACTTGAGTGTTTTCAATAAACGGAAATATAAATCTCGCTTGAGTTACTAACAACAAAAAAAGAACAAGAGAACTTGAACAAACTTTATATAGAAAAAAATGCGAAAAGAAAATGGTCAATTTACATCTTTTCTTTCTTCCATAGACAATCATTTTTTCAAAAAAAAAAGGAACTTCTAGTTGAAGTTCCAAAAGTACATGTCAATTAACACTGTTTTAAACAACAATGATTTCCTGTAATCAATAAGTAATAACAGATTTCAAAAGTTATCATCAGTTAATGATTTTATACGCATTTTGTTCCTTTTTCCGTTAACATTTTTAATCAAT